TTGGATGAAATCCCTTATAACTATAATCGCCTCCATCGCAAGTTGGGCAACATCCCAATGTATCTTATTCTTACCAAAAGCAAGAAGAAGTCTACCTTTACAATATCTGAAAATCCCACCAATACCAACATGATTTGAGCTCAACAATGAGGCACAACATTAATCTTGATCCAATCTAGCGGTGGAGGGCACCAAGTACTGCAAAACTCCCTTGGGAGATTAGCACCCCAGCTATCCAGATTTGGAGAAGATTTCAACATAGCTAAAGAAAGCACATTAGCAGCCACCAAAGAACTAGGCATAGCATTCTTTCAATGTTTTACCAAATTTCAATTTTTCCAGGACAAAAAAAACTGCAACACAATAAATTCTAGCCATACCAGCCTTTCGACCATAGCTTCTTCTTAGCTCCTCTAAGTAGCAATCCAATGATTGAAATACAGGGTTATAAAATCCCCATTCTCTAATTTTAGAAATAACATCCTGAAGATATTTGCAATGAACAACAATGTGTTCATAATTCTCCACCTCCTGACATCCTCTAGCACAAAGATCGTCAACTGCAAGCCTTCAAAATTTGAGAAAATGATTAGTAGGCATAGCGAACTTACTAAGTCGCCACCAAAAGATTTCCACCTTAGAGTTGAGCTTTAGATTCTTAAGCCATTTATAAAAACCACCATCATTTTCTTTACCTCTCCCTTCCATCACATAATCATAAGCCAGCGCAGAGATTTATTTGTCCGAGAATTTGTACATGGTTTCCATCTGATCCTCCTATTGGATGTCAATATGCACTTGCATGATTAACCTGACAAGTTCTTCATGAAATAAATTTATTAACTTCTTTTCAACCCACTCACCTTCAGCAGAAATAAATTGCTGAACCTTTGTATCCTCCAAAGCTCCACAATCAACAAAAGTTGGCCAAGCGTTAAAACACTAGTCCAGCAGCCAAACATCACTCAAAACATGAATTTTATCCCCTCTACCCACCTTCCATTTAAAAATAGGTTTAAGATATTTACCTCCATCCTTCATAATTTGCCAACCACTAGAAGAGATCTTCATACAAGTTTCATTCAAAATATTATCACTATACTTAGCAATGAGCGTTTGGTGAAGAAAAGAATCAGGATTTTGGATACAATTCCAAGCCAGCCTTGCCTATAAAGTACCACCTTTGATTACAGCAGACTGCACTCCCAATCCACCTGCACCTTTTGGTTTACAAATCTTATCCCAAGCTACATAATGCAATACTTTCCTCCAATCTTGTTTGTGCCAAATGAATCTCTCGCACAATTTCTCCAATTCATGAACCACTTTCTTAGGAACTAAAGAGTGTGTAAGAACAAAATTCAGCATAGATAATAAGGAAGTATTGATGAGAGTAATTCTTCCCCCCAAGGATAGAGATTTCTTCCCCCACACATTCAATCTATCTGTCACATGGCTTAAAAGGTCTTGAAAATCTGCCACACCCAATCTCCTTAAAGAGATCCTGATTCTCAGATAAAGCAATTCCTTCACAATTTTGAAACCAAGAATTCTAGCCACTTTCTTCTTATGAGATCTCCTAACTGCCTTTCCAAAAATGATTTGGGACTTGTTGAAATTTACTCTTTGACCCATCCACTTACAAAATTCCTCCACAGTACTCTTTAACAAACGTGCAAGAGAATTGGTTGCCTGAGAAAAAACCAGCACATCATCTGCATAGAGAAGATGTGTGATCTTCGATCCTCTGGGACAAACCTGAATACCCAATTCATGGCCCCTTTGCTGAATTGCATTAGAAAACAGTTGGGAACACATAATGAACAAGTAAGATGATAAAGGGCATCCCTGCCTTAATCCACTGTAAGCATTAATCCATCTCAAATTCTTCCCATTCAGGATAATGGAGAACCTTGCATTCACCACACATTACATAAGCAAGTTAGAAAAAATAATGAGGAAACCATACCATTGGAGGATTTGATTCAAAGTTGTCCATCCCATACTATCGTACGCCTGCTCCATGAGAAGCTTGACAACCATCATTCCTTATTTATTCTTAGAAATTTTAAATTTGTTAAAAATCTCCTATGCCAAAATGCAATGTTCAGACAAAGATCTACTTGGAATGAACGTCAGCTGCTCTTCCGAAATCATCTTGGGTATGCAGTTTTTTAGCCTATTAACCAGCTGGTGGCCACAATCTTATAAGTAGTTTGACAAAGGCTTATAGGCCTGTAATTGGCGGGCACAACCGGTTTCTTAACTTTGGGAATTAATACGATTAGCATATCCTTCCATTCCTTGTGCATAACTCCATAATATAAGAACTTTTTGATAGCATTCCAAGTAGTCTCACACTTTAGGTTCCAATAACACTTGAAGAAAGAGGATGTCACCCCATCTAAACCAGGTGACTTGTTATTGCCTTGCTAGAAATCTGAAACCTTGCATTCTTCCATAGAAAATTTTGCATCCAAAGCTGCCACATTCGAAGCATCCAGCTTCTATTTTTCTAAAATATCAGGCCAATTAGTCAATTTGCATGCTCTGTACTTCCATTTCTCTTCAAAAAACTGTAAAAACACTTGCTCAATTTGATCATCCTCCTCCACCAAATAGTTATTAACATCTTTGATTTGCCTAACCCACTTTGCATTTCTCCTAGCTGATACAAAGTTATGAAAAAACTTGGAATTAGTATCCCCTTCCTCTTGCCATCTTACCTTAGCCCTTTGATTTCACCAAATAGAAAGCCTTCTAAAGTGACATTTAGCTCATGTACCTTGCTTCTAAGGAGCAAGTCATCCAGAGAAAAATTCTCACCCGTAGCTTCCTTAATCTGCATTTCCAAGATCTCCCTCTTTAAGTCCTCCTTCAGCTTACATAAATCTTTGCATTTATTTTTACTCCAGAAAAATAATGCTCTCAATGTCCTTTTAAGTTTTCTATGAAGTACCTCCACCTCCTCACCAAAATCAGCCTTCTTTCAGGAATTATAAATAATATTCCACGCAGCCGGGTAAGACCTCCAAGTGTCTTCAAATATGATGACCATGGTCTTGTTAATCTGCTTTGCCTCCAAATTAAAAATAATTGGTTTATGGTCTGATGACACTCTTGCAAGATGCTTCACCTCCCCAAATGGGACCAAGTGTAAAGATGAAGAGTTAAGCAAACATCTATCAAGTCTTTCCCAAATCCTTGAAGAACCTTCCTTATTGTTACACCACGTAAAACTTGGTCCAACAAAACCTGCATCATGGAAATCAGAGTTAGTCATAAAATCTTTCATCTCTCTAGGACCTCTAGAAAAGAGGAACCTCTTTCCACCTTTCTTCTCCTCCTTATTCAAAACAACCTTCTTGTTCCACATAACCATACTACCTTCAGAGGTACCCACAGTTCGATGGTGGAAAAAATCCCAATCTCTCCCAATAAGGATATCAACATCACTTCTCTCAACATTTGTTAGCTTGGTTTCCATCTGCCTAACAAAAAAAATATCATGATCCCTCAATATCTCCCTATGATACAAGGAAGCCTCCTTTTTCCTAGCCCCCCTGCAATTCCAGAAAATAAATGAAGTCATTTATTAACCATAGGGGATCCATCCCTGCCTGGCACGCTTCCCTTACCATCCTTTCTTTTTTTCCTATGCTTAGGTTCTAAAGGCCCCAACGATTTCAATTCCTTAGCCAATTTCACTTTGACCAAACTACTATTCAGAGAAGCAGCAAATTCCATTTTCTCAGGAATATTTTCAACAACAGCAGTATTCTTCTGCTGAACAATCATAGAATGATCCATTACTACCCCTTCTTGAATATCCTCATTCAGAGCCTCAAATTTATTGGTTACAGCTAATGCTGATTCAAACTCCATATCAACTTCACCTTTACTAACACTTTTGTCAGTATCCATAGCATACTGATCAAACTGCTTTAACTCTATATCCACATCAGCCACCATATATTGAGCCAAATTCTGCACAGCAACATCATGGACATCATGAACCTGAACATTCACTTCTGCTGCATTTCTACCATACCTCCCACCTCCCAGAAACTTTCCATTTTTGAACCTTCTATTTTAAATTGAACATGAATCCACGGACCATATTCTCTACCAGAAGTTTTATTATCAACCAGTCCTCCCACATCATTCCCAGTAGCTAGATTCTTCACTGGCTGATCAATATGAGCATTCATCACACTTCAGGGAAACCCTTTCTATCATGTCCCGCCTTACCATAATGATAGCAAATCAAGTCAATCTTCTCATACTCTATTTTTTGGAAGAATCTCCCTGCTATTCCATCGACCCATACACCATTTGGAAGCCTATTTTCTAGATTTAATCTCACATAAACCCAAGCAAATTCACGTTTCCCCCACTTAAAAGAATTCCCATCAACAAACATAGGTACTCCTACCCTTGAAGCAATAATAGCAATATTCTCCTCATCCCAACAGTATAAAGGCAAATAGGCGAGGCGAATCCAAACAGGTGCAGTAATACCCTTAAAGGAATTGGGGTTGAAAAGAGGGGGCCATTTGTCCATCCCAATAATGTGTCCTCCCACATACCAAGGACCACCATTCAAAACTTCATCCATAGCTTTCGCAGATTTAAACGAACATAAAATCTAGTTCATATCGATGGAAGTCATATGAAAACTACCAAATTTATTCTACTGCTTCCTCAACTCTATACTACACATCGAAAAGGTTATTTTATCTCCCAACACCTTGATAACCAGTGAGTGCCTCAGAACTTGTGTATTCAAAACTTCCTTCTCAGCATTCAACATGACTACAATCCCATCATCAGACATCTCTGTTAGATCCCTACTGAAAGAAATCTTGATATGCTGAGGTTTCTTCCAAGCTTCAGTAAAATTTTCCTTCGTATCATTTCTAACAGGATCCCCGTCAACATTGTTGTCCCGCTTTTCCATCATCATAGAGTTCTTTAGGAGATTAGAATCTTCAACTTCATTTTCCCTTCCCAAAGCATCTATCTCAGATGCTAAAACACACCCACCAATTTCTTCAGAATTTCTCACAAACTTATTAACCTTCAAGATCATTCCAACAGATGAAGACGCCTCAGGACAAGACTATCTGAGATATCATTCACAATAGAGACATCTTTAGCACCTCCAACATCACGATCGATCAAAACCATCTTGCATTTTCCTTCCACTACTTCTTGACGAACCAGGGGTTTCTTACCCTCTCTGATTACAATATTATTAGTAATCTTACCAAGGATATGATTTGTACCTGAAGATCGAACAGTTTCCATGATCTTGGCAGAAGAAAACTGTCGATCATCCGTCCGACGATCAGCCATCATCAAAATCATTGTCCACATAAAGCCCGCGAACAAGATAATTTGAAAATCAAGATTTTTTTCTCTCTAGAAAATCTGGGAGCTTCTCTCTCTAGTGTACCTTGGGTCATTGAAAGGATGCCATTGAAAGGGAAGATAGTCGCTAATCGTGATTTTTGACAGAAGGTTTAAATGGAATGTTAGAATTGATTAAAAGAGGGGTTTTAGGTGGTATATTAGTAAATATAAAAGTTTTGGTGTTAAATATGTATTTTCAATAGTTTTAGGTGTTATGTATGTAAAAGCCCATTTAGTTTTTATTGTCTAGATTAATTTTAGGGTTAAAGGAGCCATAAATGTCAACTTTGTTAACCATGCTGACCCAAGGTACACTAAAAGGTTTCCAATTGGATTAGGTGAGTCTATATAAGTTATTAGGAGGTTTAGGATGCAATGATAAGGAATGGAATTGATTTGAACATTGAAATGGTCAATTTAGGTGAAATAAATGTTAGATGGTCAACTTAGTCAATCATGGTCAAATATTGTCCATCATGGGCTCCATTAAGTTTATACATGTTCATGGAGATGTTTGAAAGACTTGTGATGCATTCCTAGGGTTTAGGATTTATTTAGGCATATTTAAGTTTTTAAAGATTCAAATATCAAACTTTGTTAATGAAGTGTTGACCATGGATCTGGAAGGAGGCCAAACCACTAATGAGATAAATTTTGATGAGGTTTGGGCATTTCCCAAGGGTTTAGATTTAGGTTTGACATTAAATGTCACCTTAAGTGGCTTAAGTTAGAAATATATAGAAGTTGAGCTTAAACTAGATTTTCACCATAGAATGTCTTTAGAATGAGTCTAACATATAATAAAAAAGATTGAGAAGGTTCCTAAGACAATTGAAATTAGACTTGGTAGAAAACTTTATAGCTCTTTCTAAGGACAATATAGGTTAGGTTTGCAGTAAAGGTAAAATACCTAAGCTAGATTTTAACCATATAATGCTTTTGGAATGGCTCTAATATACCATCAAAATGATTTAGGACGTTCCTCTCCACTAAGATTTAGTCTTGGTTAACAAATTTATGCTTCTTTCTAAGGCCCCTATTTGCACCAAAGGTAAATGACCTAAGCATTAAGGGTAATGAGGAACAAAGTTTAGATCTAATTCAAAAAATATGGTAAATAGTGGATTTAAGGAATACATGTGTACCATTATACTATTTATAATTATCAAGTTAGCTTAATCAATTTGCCAAAAATGATGCATAGAAATCAGTACCTAAACTATATGTTCAGAGTGTGATTAGCACCATGTGGGTATTTTAAGGATAAATTAAATTACTCTATATGAGTAGTGAGAAAGAAGCCAGATTGATAACAAAAAGTATACAATCAAAATAGAAGGTAGAAATTTGAAATGAGATTTCTTCAATTGCAATATTGAATGTTGTGAGATATTCTTGGCAATTGAAAGTTTTAAAGGGCTTAACCTATATCAAATTGATGTAAAAAGTATGCTATTAAATATAGTGATAAAAGAATATGTATATGCATAATAATCATTAGAATTACGAGCACTATATTCTTTTACCATGTTTACAAATTAAAAATGACATTGTATGGATGGAAATTGCTACGAAGGGCATGTTATAATTTAATTATAGAAAGTTTTGTTGTACCACATTATTGTTAAAAAGAATTGGGATTAATATTCTAATAGCACAATTAAATGTGGATGGTATTTTGTTTTAAACAACAAATGATAACTTTTTTAAGGAATTCTTGTCTTTCATGAGCTATGAGTTTGAAATCTGTATGATGGGTGAGTTGATATATTTTTTGATATTTAATGAGAATAATAGGAAAGATGGCCTTTTTGTGTCAAACTAATTAAAGAATTATATAAAAAGTTTGACATTTGAGGATGCAAAAGTACAAATATAGATATGAGCCCGACTATATAGTTAGTAAAGGATCCTAGTAAAAAATTTAATATTTAAAAAGGTTTAGAGGCATGATAAGATCCTTATTATAATTGACTACAAGTAGATAACATATCATGTTTAGTATGTATCTATGTGCATGTTTTTAAGAGGACATTATAATCACATTTGATCACAGAAACAAATGATCATATTTGATAAACTAATTTGAACATTTGTAATCTAAGGAAGAGTATAATATTTTATTTAATAGAATATTCAGGTTAAAATTTTGTAGAATATAAAGCTGATAAAAAAAAAAAGCAAATAAAAAACCTATCAATTCGTTGAAAATTATTTAAATTTTTGGCCATGTAGAAAATAAAATTTTGTAGCCTTATCCATTGTAAAACTAGAAACTTTACTTTAAGAATATATATTACTCAAGTCTTATGACTGAAATAACAACATTTTAATTTTGGAGTACATATGGACACTATATTTATTTTATATATTAATAACAATTACTTTTGTATCACTAAAAATCCAATATAACATTCCTGAAAAATACATTGATATTTGACGTCACTTTATTAAAGTCCATGTGTTAAAAGGTGATATGAACTTTAAATATTTTTATAGTTAAAATTAATTGATAGATAAATTTACAAATATAATTAATTATGAAAGGTTTACTATGCTTCAAGTTAAACTAGGAGTATTAAGCCTAGTGCCTAGATAATATGAAAAGTATATTTTTTTTATGGGTGAGGTGAAAAGTTTATATTTTATAATCTTTATTGGCTTTCATATTTTATTCATTTAATTATATTTTTTTGCACGTATATATGTGGTCTTTGATCACTAGGAATAAATGAGATTTGTATCATATATTGTATTATACAATATACATATAATTATACAAATTTAATTTATCATCATCTACAAAAATTAAATTATTTTATTAAATTAATACTATATGAGTGTACTTATTCAACCTATTATCTTCATATCCATTCGCATGATCATAAAGTACATACCTAGTCATATTGTATAATTGACATAGACAAAATATCCATTAGAGGGATGTTGGGATGATCTAGCACATAATTGATGGTACAAAATGATCAAGATCATAGTATATGAATAAGCATATCTAAAATAGCTATAAATAGGGGTTTGATTGCTCGCTTTTCCACACACTCAAGAAGGAGGTAACAATGTGGTAGAGGAAGAAGGAGAACTTGCTCCTATTTATCTTGCTAATTATTATTCATAGGATGAATGGATAAAACATTTTGCTTAACTTGATTTAAAAGTAAATGATCATGTTTAGTGGCAGAATATTCCATTGGAATTGTTTTAACACCAACATGAGGAAGATTGAGCATGGTTTCAGATCAATATCCAATTCTCCAAAGCCACTTACATCCAACCATCACCACAACCACAAGACTAGGTACTGTCTGATTACTCATATTTTTTGTGCATTAGTTACTATATTTTCATAATTAATATAAACAACATTTTTAGATGTTAAAATGGTGAGCAGTGTATTTTAGTTGTGTATGTCTATTTGTGTTTTCATTGATATTTATACAAATGTTTATATGTACTTGTGTTTATTATACTTAGACTCATGTTTGTGTACTTAATTATTTAAAAAATAAATTAAAAATCATTTCTCTCTTCTCCCATTAATTAATTAGTTTAATTATTTCTTTTTTATTTAATTAAGCTTATGATTATTAGTAGCATAAATTGAGGGAGATAAATATCGTATAAATAAGATTAAATTTTTTATTAATTTATAATTGCTATAAGATCCAAGCAAAATATTTTCCATCATTAAATGGGGAAGAATGTTAAACCCATGAGCAATTAGAAATGTATGATAGTTTGATTATTATTAATATTATTAATTATAATCAAGTAAAAAAAAAGTGTGAGGCGATATTTTGCTCTGCTAGGGTTTCCTTGCTCCCTCGCTGAGTTTCTCCTCCGCCGCCGCCCCTCCGGCTCTGCCGGAG